CTGGTCCGCGTAACTTCTGGTCCGCTACACCGGGAGCAGACGCGGACACACGGAGTTCACCAGAGAATACGCGCTTAAAGCAGGGACGTCACCGAGATGTGCATTGTGGGTAAAACAATTGCTTGGTGAACTATCCTTACAAGTATTTAATCCTTAGTCTAAAGTACAGTGCTGTGCAGTATAATGAATAGTCTAATAGGAATTTTATTAAACAGCGAGTAATCCTTCCGTTTTCTTCTTGATTTAAAATTTACATAATAAATTTTGAATATTTAAGTCTACATATGTAGCAATTTGTACGACGTGAACTGGTAAAATTTCTTTTGTTGCCACCAACAGAATCACGAGAATTTTATCTCTGCAATCAATTAAGACACTTTTCTTCTTCAAAGGTGTCGGCAGCTTTCATTACTGAACTTCAAATTAGTATGCAGACGACCTCACCCTTGTCGCTCACACTTAACGCGATCTACAGGAGAACCTGAACACATATGCAGATGCGTATGCACACTTTGGCCATGAGGTGAATGTGCGCAAGACTCAGATTCACTTTCAGCCTGCCTCTGGTTCAGCCACACCACCACCACCACCACCCACCCAGCTTAATGCTACTACCGTCTCTAATGTTACCCACTTTCAGTATCTCGGCTCCCGCCTGTCCACTACCGCGGACATCGACGAAGAGATTCAACATCGGATCAGATGTGCATCTCAAGCCTTTGGCATACTCCGTATCCGTGTCTTCAGCTGCAGGGAGCTGAAATTATTTACAAAGTTGCACGTATATCGAGCAGTAATCCTCCTCACCCTGCTATGTGGCAGTAAGACATGGATTACATACAGGAGGCACCTCAAGCACTTGAAAACTTTCACCAACGTAGTCTATTTCCCATCCTCTGAGTTCGCTGGGAAGACAAGCGAACAAATGCCAGTATTCTAGCTGACACCAACTGTAGGAGCATTGAAGCTATCATTATCCATGAACAACTACGTTGGACAGGCCACTTTACCCGCATGGATGACAGTAGACTGCCAAAGCAGGTACTTTACAGTAACCTAACGAATAGTAAACGTGATGCTGGCGGGCACCTGAAAAGGTATAAGGATTGTCTTAAGACAAACCTGAAAAGTGCCAAATCGGCCCCCCTTACCTGGGAGACGATCACTCCACACCATAACGCTTGTAGGAGCACGACAAGAGAAGGTTCCAATATCTTCGAATTAACCCGAATGCAAACCGAGGTCGATGCTGATGCCCCCGCACAACAATGCCCAACCATTAATTAAGCAACAGGGAACTAAGTAACCAATCACCGATAACCTTTTACATTCATTCATAATTTTTACTACGTACTATAGTAAACAAACGGCCTTGAGTTGCCAGGTGCCTCCATCAGTGTTCGAAGAATCTTGAACGAGACTACATGCATGCAGCCTGTGAGAACCTCGGTCTTATTATCTCCACTGAGAAAACTAAGGAGTTTAACAAACAAGCTGGTATCCGCAAACGCGGCCCCGCCAAGTTCAAGATGGGAAACAACACTTTTGACTATGTTTCTTCTTTTAAATATCTTTGTGTCTCCGTCCCGTATACCCTACCTGCCATACAACAGCTAACCCGCCAATGTACTGACAGACTGAAACCTCTTAAGAGTGTAGCGGGATATAGCACACATTATGGTACTAATATTAGAATTGTTAAAGCAATGTACAGTTACGTTCAGAAGTTCGTGGTATACTGACGGTGAAGGGTGCATGGCCTGTTGTACCCTTCCTGGGCGACAGGTCACTACTCCGAACCTCCTACCAACATACTGTAC